TGGGGCATAGGAGGTGGGTTGAAAAGGCGGGAAGGGATATCGTTAGGATAGACAGACTAGGGAAGACATTTTTGAGCCACCTTTGGCAAAGTAGAAAGGAACGATTGGCCATCGGTGATCGGTCCTGTGGGAACAATGCTCCGTCCTCTCGAGGACGCGTGGTCAATGGTCTAACCGCTAAGACATGCAAAACATAGAGTACGCCCCCCCCCCCCCCCCCCCCCCCCCCCCCCCCCCCCCCCCCCCCCCCCCCCCCCCCCACCCCACCCCACCCCCCGGTTGGTACGTTTTTGATTGTTTTTTCTTGTCGCCGCTATCTTGCAGCATCCGTTGATCTGTCGATTCCCTCTCTGGCTTATCCTTACTTAGCGCCGTGACGCGTTTCTCAAATCCGAGTGGACACGATCGACACACAGAATCTTAACATTTACTCCCGTCCCCCGCGCGTGCCTGCGCCGCTGTCAGGGATGAGCTGCACTCCAAGACGACGGAGGTGGAAGCTCTCGCGGAGAAGGGCGTGGCTGCCTCCGGCGAGTCAGAGAAGGAGCTCAACCGCTTGCGGGAGGAAGCGGAGACGGAACGATCGCAGGCCGAGCGTGCGCTGTCCGCTAAGGAGGAGGAGACGGCCGCTCTCGAATCCAGGTACTCACTACTTTGTCTTCCTCATCAATGTATGGACACTCGTGGCTTTTTCTCCGTGAAAAACGTCTATATCGCGGCAAGATTTCCAAAATGTTCCATACAAACACAGACTGACCCTACCCGTCCGGGCTAATACCACAGTCTAACGGGGTGTGTTGAAGTTATTTTAGGAAAATATCAATGCAAAAACAGAAATACTTATTTGCAGTGGGTGGGGGAGAGGAACATGCCCTTTAAGGTACGCCCTCCTCACATGTGTGCATTCTGCAAGTCACCGTGCTTCTGGATTCTGGATTCCTAATAAAATGAATATTGTCCTTGAAGCGGGGGACGCGCATACACGTGTCAATGGCACCAACGCCCAACCGGGCCTGGAAAACAGAATATCAGTGTTTTCGTCGGTGGATAGATTCGTGTTTCGAACGTTGGTGAGAACGGCGACACACCAGGACGTGATGATGCTTGCACTTGACCCACCGCAGGGTTGTATCAATGTCCTGTTCCTAGGCACCAGGGTGGGCTCGGCATCGCTAGTATTGACGGTATACGTGTTGAATCGAAACCACTTATGGGTCGTTGGTTGTGGGTGACCTTCCGAGCGGGCTTCAATCTTCACAAGCACCCGCCTATCGCCCCAACGCTGGCCGTGAATTTCCGCGTGAACGCACCGTGTGCGCGAACAGTCTGCGCAAGCTCGAGGCGGAACAAGCCGCTCAGGCGAAGGAGCTCGAGCGCGCTACCTCCCTGAGGGATGAGGCGGTGGAGAGGGCGAGCGGCCTGGAGGCCGAGCTGGAAGCGGCATCGTCTCAGGTGATTGGCTGACTCAGGCGGCGGAATTGTTGTCGTTTCGGACAAGGAGAGTTGCTTCATGGTTGATGCTGTTGTCCCTGTTGGGGAATGAATGGGGTGACGAAGAGCGAAGGAGCTGAGCTGGTTGTCGGTTTGTAGCTCGGTGTGGACTGGTAGGGAAACGAAAGCGGTCGACCCTTCCTTCGTGTGTATGTGTGGCTAGTGCCATCTTGTTTATATGCGAAGCTTATTGAATCTCTTGTTGTGTCATAAATAACTTTTGCACGACCCCTTCGCTTCTTAGCCCTTTTGTTGTTGTTGTTGTTGTTGTTGTTGGTGGTGGTGACAATAGCTCGTGGCGTCCGAGACCAAGTTTGGAGAGCAGGAGAAAGAGCTCTCGGGCATCGAAGCGGAGAGGGACACGCTGGGCGAAAGGGTCGAGATCCTCGCCAAGCAAGTCGAGGTGAGAGAGACAGAGAGAAAGAAATAGAGAAGCCCGTGGCGTTGTTCAAGCTGGTGCTATTGCGCTTTCGTTCGACTCTGTTGCTGTTGTTCGGAGTGACATGTTGTGCCAAGATGAATTCACTCCTCTTTGGTAGTCAATCTCACCAGGGCAGGGATTCCCGCCGAACAGGCCGCCGAAGCCGAGATGATACATCGGTAGTCATGCCGCCTTTTGTTTTCCTTGAAGGTTCCATGTTTCGCTATTGGATAGTGAGATTGCCAAGCGTGGGGCCGGGTTGATGGTTGGTTACTTTGTTCTCGCATTTGCTCTGCCGGGCATCCTTGGTGCTACAACTCTACCCTGATGCCGATGTTCTGGTGTTGATGCAAAAGGACCTCACGGCCGAGTGTGGCGCTGCATCGGAGGAGCTCGCGGCCCTCAAGCTTAAGGAGGAACAGAGGGAAGCCGAGGCTGCTGCTGCTGCCGCCGCGGCGTCGGGAGCGGGAGCGGGAGCGGCCGGCCTGGCGGGGACACCGGCGCAGACAAAGGAGGTACACAACATACCGTTTGTGTGGTGATTACGTGCGCGGATACATGGTGCGCCAGTTTACGTCATACAGTAGCGCCTTTCCGCCGTTGACCGAAGCCTGGTCGCGCGGAAGAAAGAAAACGACGTGTTCAACTTTTTGGGCGATAGACGAGACGTGACAGAACGTACGTTTCCGCCCCCCCCCCTAGTAAGAAATCCGGCTTAAAGAATACAGCCCAGCCGTGGATCTTGCACGTCTTAGTTTCAATGGTGACGATGTTTTGTTCATGACGGGCCGGCTTTGCTGTGCTGTACGGTACGATAGCGGGGGAGTGAGGGCGAGGCGCCGACGCGTTCTCGTTTTCTCACTGCCCACTTACCGTCGCGAGGCAGCCGACGTCCGCTTGTGGGGTTGTCTCAGCCCGAAGCACGCTTAATATTGGAGTGTCTCCGGGGATGCTGTGTGTTCAAGGTCGAGTCCGTCCGCGCGTGTTGATGGAAGTCATGCAACAAGCCGTTCCCGACGTTTTCACGTGCTGGCTGGAAATATGATCCATCTCTTGGTTCGCGTTTTGATGCAGGTATCCGTGGAAGGGGCAGGTCTGGAGGTCCAGACGGTCCGGGCTGGAGGGCTGCTGCCGCAAGGAGAGCGCTCGCCGGAGAACACGGTGTCTTCTGCTCGCAGGCTGTCGCCAGAATCTCAGGTGTGTTGCAAGTGCTGCTGCTGTTGTTGTTGGTGATGGTGTAGTAGGTAGGGATTGCGTTGTCGGTGTTGGAGGCGGGGGTGGCAGAGATGTGATGATGGTGCTGGTGCGATGGTGACGTTTTTTGTTCCCTTAAACTGTAGAGCTATCGTAGATTCGTCTTGTGCCTTGGAGCCACGCAGCACCTCGACTTGACTGACCCGTCGAAACCCGCAAGCACTGCCGCGGCCGCTTTTGCTATTGCTGATGCCGTTGCTGCTAAATATCGCCATTCGCCTGGGTGACGACGAAAACAGTTGCAGATGGGAAAGCTCGAGCTCCAGCAGGTGAGAGCCGTGACGGCCGGCACGGACCCTGTCCGACAGAACGACGATGCCGCTGCCGCCGCAGTTGCTAAGGCCGAGAGCATGAAGCGGGAGCTTGAGAAGAAGAACATGTCTCTAGCCAAGGCGGAGGAGAAGTGCCTGGTGCTGGAGGCGAGGCAGGAGGACTTCACGTACCTGCTGCAGGGGTTCCGTGAAGAGAAGGTACGTGGGTTCTGGTGTGGGGGGACCTGTTTTGGAGTGCGAAATAGGTTGTTTCGCTGATCATTGTCCCTTGTCCAATGCTCTCTTTCTACGGCGAGCTGATCATTCACTTTTTTGGTTGATTTTCGATCATGGGTCTCGCCGCGGTCAATGAGTCTTGTTCGTTTTCCATTGTTCGTAGAAGAGGAACACACTTGTTCGAGACACCATACCGCCTTGTAAACCGGACAGCCATCGTTCCTTCCTTCCCTGCAACAACCGTTAGTTTTTGGGGCAGGAAAACTAAAAGTTGATGCTTGTGGAACTCTCTCAAATGAACCGCTTTTCCACTGTGACACTCGTGCTTGTTGGTGCGGATCACACCTGTATGCATGGAAAGAACCGTTCCTACGTCAATCCAGCCAGCGATTCCTGTCCCGCGGTCTTCAAATACAAGATATGGGATGGTCATGGTCGGAAAGCAGCACACCCTAACACAGCGCTGAGACGTCAACTAAAACGAAAACAACCCCAAGATATGAAAAGTCCCGCTCATTGTTGATCGATCGGCCTGCCTTTGGCCCGCCCGCCGTTCGTCTGTCGGTTTGTTGTTACCACGGGGTCATATACTTAGACTACATGTGAGTGAACAACAAAGGGCCCACCAGAACGACCGGTTTGCGGCTCAATATCGAACTTTTGATTGATCTTCCGCCCGACGTCCGTCTGTCCCCCCCCCTCCTTTTTTTTTCTTTCGTTGGTGGCTCTCTGTGCCGCGGTCCGCAGGAAAAACTGCTTTCGGAGCTCAAGAAGAAGCGCGAGAAGGTGGCGAAGGAGCTGAAGGAGGTCAAGGCCGCGAAGAAGGAGGCCGAGAGGCGCTGTCGTCAGATGGAGGAGGAAAAGGAGGCTATCTGTGACGACTACGAGGGAAGGCTGCAGCAGCAGGTGTGTGTGTATGTGTGTCCGTGTGTTGCGTGATGCTCGTGGTTTTCCAAGGCATGCGCGTCAATCGCTGCATGCGCGTTGAAGCGTTTTTGTCGGGTTTGACTTTTTTTTTTCGACGTTACGGGATAGTGTTTGGATTTTTTTTTCGCTTCACGATCATGCTGCGTACGGCATGGTGGCCAAGGGCATCTTTTGCGGCGGTTGCCCTTGCGTCAGCCTCGTTCCGATCTTGACTGAATGTTCTATTCTGTGGTGATGCCCTGTGCGACTGGGTTTTGGTGCTGGATGATTTTGGGGGGGGGGGGTCGGTTGTAGGTAGAGGCCTGCAGCAGCGCCGTAGCAACAGCGGCATCAGATACCCTTGTCCCAATTGATACTTTACGCTGCTTTCCGTGCGCACCGGAGATGGTGAATTTTGCGGTCGTCCCACAGGGCGCGACCCGTGCACATGTTCGTGGAACACGACACAAGTTGGTTTGGCATCACGTGTATGCCGTACAGGTGTTTAGGTTGAGTTCGTCGTGATGAGCATGCCCGTTTTGTTGTCTGTTGGGGCATATCCCCACCCCCGAGCTTACACTTGAAACTCGGTTGGCCACATCGATGTTTCTTTGTTTGACTAGGCTGCCAACTACGAAGCTCAGCTGACGGCCCTGCCCAAGACGGAGGAGGACGGGGACGAGACGGCGGGGGCGGTGGTGGCCGCATCTGGCGGTGCCGAGACTGAAGTGGCGCGGCTCAAATCCATGATCGAAGATCTGGGTACGTAAACCACAGATTTTTCGTATTTTTTGTAGTCTTGGCGGGCTACAGTAGTTCGCCCAAGAAAAATTGTGGGCCGTTGAAGAACGGTGACATTCCGCCCTGAGTTGTTCGGAAATGAAGTGGCTCTCTGTGCCTACCGTACATACATGTGATGCGTTTTTTTCCTTTCACGTTACTGTTCCATTTCTCTTTCTCTCTCTCTCTCTCTCTCTCTCTCTCTCTCTCTCTCTCTCTCTCTCTCTCTCTCTC